TATTGTGAACTCCTGCTCTATGCCTGCTTGCTCATTGTGCTGATTACACCCCACTTTGGCTATGGCGGTGTGTCAGAATGTTATAATTGTCTAGCCTGCAGTGGGGTACTCTATAGCGAGTACAACCCAATTAGGGTTTCCTATATATATGCCAACTGCTGCTAGTGCAACCCTCCCCTCTTCTTCATTCCTCATTCTTCACAGAATCCCACCCTCAAAATGGGGGAGGGTCTTAACAAACGGCTACACTCTATAAGACCCGGGTCTTATCATAAGGTCATGTATACTACTTGTGTTTTGGAAGCCATACATGTCAACACTATGAGCTTCGTTTTTAGCATTCAAAGGGAATGGACGCAATGAAATTCGTATTTAGCATTCAAAACTAATACACGAAATTGACATGATGACGAGTATATGTGCTTTTGGGTGTTACCTAAGCGTTGGAGACGAGGGGAGACATAAGGAGCCGACAGACTCTTTATGTCCAGTGGGTAAGGAGGGATGTAGGTAGGGAGCTGTTGAGCTTGTTGCATGCAAGGGTCTTGGTGGGTCAGTATGCGGGCAAGAGTGAACAAGCTGTGCAGAGAACTTGGAAGCTGGTTGCTTAGAGAATTGAGGAACGCAGGCAATGGGTTGAGATATGAGGCTTGCAGTGACAGGCTGGAGGAAGCCAGAGAGCTGGTTGTGAGGCAGGAGAGGCAGTATATTGCGCTGCTCAGCCTGACCTGCTCTGGTAATGGTTAAAACAGCCAGTGCTAATTATATTATGAGAGTCTGAAACATTTCCTACGTCTACCAGTCGTACACGCGAAATCGAAAAAGGGTAACTGCACTACTGCACTTCACCGACACTTTCTGTCAGTTTTGGAAACCTGCTAAGGAATGCGCATGTACGGGTAGGGGGATGTTTGACGCCACTAATGTGAGTGAGTGTCACTCTTGTCTATGGCTGATGTTGTCGTACCCAGACTACATCGCTGGCTCCGCGTCCTCGCCAAGGTACTCCTGGTCGTCCTCCGCGCAGGCCTCCTGGTACTGCTGGTACTCGCTCACCAGGTCGTTCATGTTGCTCTCCGCCTCAGTGAACTCCATCTCGTCCATGCCCTCGCCCGTGTACCAATGCAAGAAAGCCTTGCGCCGGAACATGGCAGTGAACTGCTCGCTAACACGCTTGAACATCTCCTGAATGCTCGTGCTGTTACCGACGAAGGTGGACGCCATCTTCAGCCCGCGGGGAGGAATGTCGCACACGGATGACTTCACGTTGTTGGGAATCCATTCAACGAAGTACGACGAGTTCTTGTTCTGCACATTCAGCATCTGCTCGTCAACCTCCTTGGTGCTCATTTTCCCGCGGAACATGGCGGACGCGGTCAGGTAGCGGCCGTGTCTGGGATCAGCGGCGCACATCATGTTCTTCGCATCCCACATCTGCTGGGTCAGTTCAGGGACGGTCAGAGCGCGGTACTGCTGAGAGCCGCGGGACGTCAGGGGAGCGAAGCCGACCATGAAGAAGTGCAGGCGAGGGAAGGGAATGAGATTGACGGCGAGCTTGCGCAGGTCAGAGTTCAGCTGGCCAGGGAAGCGCAGGCAGCAGGTCACGCCGCTCATGGTAGCCGAGATCAGATGGTTGAGATCACCGACTGCACGACAACAAGAACATTCTGTGAGAAACCAGCCTTTGAACCAAATGTGTGAACATTCTGCACGACATCAGGATTTGAACCAGGTAGATGAATCGAGAGTAGATGTTGAACCAGTTATTTGCAGCAGAAGGCATGGAACTTACAGCTTGGGTTGGCGAGCTTCAGAGTGCGGAAGCAGATGTCATAGAGCGCCTCATTGTCCAGGACCATGCACTCGTCCGCGTTCTCGACGAGCTGATGCACGGAGAGAGTGGCATTGTAAGGCTCCACGACTGTGTCCGACACCTTCGGCGACGGGAACACGGAGAAGGTCAGCATCATGCGGTCGGGATATTCTTCCCGGATCTTGGAAATGAGGAGAGTACCCATTCCAGATCCCGTGCCACCACCGAGGGAGTGGCACACTTGGAAGCCTACAAGCAGCGAACATAAGAGGAATAGATTGTCAGTCACGTCCGTGAGTAAAAGCCTCATGCTTAAAGAGTGAGATGATGTCGAGAATCTCAGCCGCAGAGTTAATTGCTGGGGAGCTCAAGGAGTTGATGTAGGAGTTGATGTACCTTGTAGGCAATCGCAGTTCTCGGCTTCCTTGCGGACGACATCGAGGACCGAATCGATCAACTCCGCACCCTCAGTGTAGTGGCCCTTAGCCCAGTTGTTGCCAGCACCGGATTGGCCGAAAACGAAGTTGTCAGGACGGAAAACCTTGCCGTAAGGGCCAGAGCGGACACTGTCCATCACACCAGGCTCCAAATCCTGGAAGAGAAGAACCACACGGCCCTTAGAAACATCTTCCAACAACTAAGCACACGTGGTGCTGACTCAATCGCAAGCTATTGTGTTCGTTGAAGTGCTGCTGAGGAATCCGGATTTACCATGAGGATGGCGCGAGGGACATAGCGTCCGCCGCTAGCCTCGTTGTAGTACACATTAACGCGCTCCAACTGCAGCGCGGAGTCTCCCTTGTAGTTACCCAGAGGGTCAATGCCGTGCTCCTCACAGATGACCTCCCAGAACTTCGCACCGATCTGGTTGCCGCACTGGCCACCCTGGATGTGGAGGATTTCCCTCATGTTGACGGTGGAGAAATAAAAGTCGGGGGAGAGCTAAGATTACCAGGCTAAGCAAGCAGATGGGAGCGGCTGTGGTGCTGCTGAAAAGCTCTTGTTGGGTAAAGTGTGAAAATGAGCTGGCTTTATCAGAATGAGGTCGTCCCAGATTCCTCTGGACACTGCTGTTGGTGAGATTTCCCTCCTGGCTTTGGTTTGGCAGGTCCTGGCGGGCCCCGACCGAGTCCCGAGCCGAAAGATTGTGATGACAGAGCGTCACCGCCTGTCATTGGCGGGATTCTTGCAGAGTGGACCTGGTCGGCCTGCAGGGGGGTGATTGTGTTGTCGCACGCACGCGAGTCGCGCCACCCCACGTGAAACGAATCATGCGAAGAAAAATTGCGATACTCACGGTAGCAGAGTGGGCGTGGGCGAAATCTCATGGATTAGGCAGTTTCGCAAGTTCTGTGTAGCCGTTGTAGTCTGCGACGTTTTTTAACAACGTGGCATGGATATTGCGTTGACGCCTCGGGAGGGCCGGAATTCGAGGGTGGACAGCGCACTTTTCTATTCCTCATCGTAGATCTCAGATTTCTGACCGAGTGTCAGAGTTTCGCGCTTTCAATATGGCGGGAAGTGGGATATGCAAAGTAGCTCAGCCTTCCAATTGGACAAAAGAGTGGAAGACGTGCCGCTCGTTCAACTGGCTGGTCTTTAGGCCACCGTGGATTGCGTTGGCTGCCTCTTACAAACTCGTCAATCCAATGGCTGGGGACCAGCCAGGTCAGCCATCACTTTGCTTGGTCTTGGCTGATGCTATGCATACCTTTGTTGACAGGCTCGATATAACGTGATGCAAAAATCACTATATGGCACAAATACTATCCAGAATAGAACAAATGCTTGTTAGGCGTAAATGTCCTTCCTCCAAATTTATTGCAGTTCTCCTAGATGATGACAAATGGCTTCACCAATAAAGGCACAGCCCCGGCTTCTACCGCGTATGTATGTATCTCCACATCCTCCTCTTGTTCTGCCAAAATTCAACATCCGCGAGGAAGTATTTTCTTATGATTCCGTTCTGCCAAGCAGCAAAGGTGGTTTCGTCCTTGCAGCCGCGATTCGTCCTAGCAGCCGCGATTCGTCCTAGCAGGCGCGTTTTGCCCGTAGCAACAGAGATCCGCTAGCAGCAGGCGCGATTTGCCCGTAGCAGCAGCGATCTGCTAGCAACAGGCGCGTTTTGCCCATAGTAGCAGAGATCCGCTAGCAGCATGCGCGATTTGCCCGTGGCAGCAGCGATCCGCTAGCAGCAGGCGCGATTTGCCCGTAGCAGCAGAGATCCGCTGGCAGCAGGCGCGAATTGCCCGTAGCAGCAGCGATCCGCTAGCAGCAGGCGCGATCTGTCCGTAGCAGTAGAGATTAGCTAGCAGAAGGCGCGTTTTTCCCGTAGCAGCAGCGATCCGCTAGCAGCAGGCGAGATTTGCGCGTAGCAGCAGCGATACGCTGGCAGCAGGCGCGATCTGCCCGTAGCAGCAGCGAGCTGCTAGCAGCAGGCGCGAGATCCGCCCATAGTAGCGTGATATCCACTAGGAGCAGCGCGAGGCGCTCGCAGCAGTGAGAAATCCACTAGCAACAGCGAGAGTCGTTCGTACCGTAGAAGCGCGAAGTTCATAGGTGTCAGCGACATCTACCCATAGAAGCTTGAAATCCGCCAGCAGCAGCGAGACTCGTTCGCAGTAGCTGGAAACCCGTTGGCATTTAGCGCGATGTCGGCCCATACTAGCGCAGGCTCCGAGTATCAGCGATAAACTCGCTAGCAAGAGCGTGAACCGCCCGTAGCAGTAGGACGCTCGCCCGAAGCACTGCAGGCAGCGAGTAGCAACAAGGAACTTGCTAGTAGAAGTGTAAACCGCCCGTAGCATCAGGAAACTCACCCACAACAGCGCAGGCCGTGAGTAGCAATGGAAAACCCGCTAGCAGCAGTGTGAACCGTCCGTAGGCTGGAGGCAACTCGCCCACAGCAGCACAGACATCAAGGAGCAGTCAGAAACGATGCTAGTAGCAGCGTGAACCGTCATCCACTTTGAGCCATGGACGACGACCCAGACCCCGGTGACCCCGGGGTCGGGGAGAGGGGAGGACCTGACAGGGGGACGACAGGGGCCAATACGAGCGAAGGGGGGGAATTTACGGCAGCACCCACTGAGACAACCTGCCTAGTGGCTGCCCATAAACGATGAGGAGGAGCTGTGGAAGGGCCCGAAGGTGCATACATCCGTCGAATGCACAAGGAAGATGCTTTATGCCTCTTCGGCAAACCAGCCAAGAGGACCCTCACAGCAACCAGGCTAGCCGGAGCAGCGGCCCCGACCAGTTAGCCGACAACGGCAAGGGGGTGTCCCCAATCAACGAGGTGGGACAAACGAATGCGAATGAGGCGCCCGAGGAAGCGAGGGCTCTATGGGAGGCCCACCGTAGGCGCTTGCAGCTACAGCACGTCCACCGTAGCCGTGACCTCGCGGAAAGGACCATACAGCGAAGCGCCAGAAGTCCTGTGTCACCTCCCTTAGACGCCGACACTTCGCTGATAGGGCCTCTGTTGGCTCAACGGCAAGAGCGGAGGCGCCGCAAGGGAGGGGGGAGAGGAGGGCAACAGGGGTGGCTTGTAAGGGGCCGGCAAGGGCTGCAGGTTGGAGGGCAGCATGGGCTGTTGGCGAGGGGGCAACAAGAGCTGCAAGATGGAGGGCACCAGCTGCCGCATAGCGGCGGGCAAGTGCAGCTACAGCGCGGAGGTACAGCGAGGGCTGCCAGCGTGGGGGCGGTATCAGGAGCTGACGAAGAGGGAACAGCGGCTGTTGGAGAAAGGGCAGCAGTGGTCGAAGAGGTGGCAGATGGGGCGGCGACCGCTGCACCAGACGGGGTTGCGACTGAAGTTAGGGACCGGGCTTTAGCACGGCCAGCAGGGGCGGTAGAGGCCACAGCTTGGGCAGAGGAGTCTGCTGCAGGAGCGGCAGAGACCGCAGACGGAGAGGCGTGGGCCGCAGGAGAGGCTGGCAGCGAGGGGGACGCTGCAGTCCCACCACAGCCCCATGACGAGGTCCCCCCTGCCCACCCCCATGCAGGCAGGAGCTTCAATAGAGGGGCAGGAGGAAACAGCGAGGACAGGGAATCCGGAGACCGCACCCATCCACACCCCGCATCTTTTAACCCACTCCCCCCCGAGAGCATCCACCCTTTGCCCCCACCCTCACAAGCATTCTCGCGAATTAAGCGGGGCAGCCAAGGCCCGGGCTTTTCTAGAGGAGCCCTGCTCCCCGACTATCAACTCCTAGCCATCACTACCTCTCCTTCCACCAGGTCCGCCCTCACCGGGAGATGTGCATATGTCCGAGGCGCTTGGTCCAGTCGCATCAACCCTCCGCCCCGTATGCTACACAATTCCACAGCGCAGGTTACCGGCACCTCATCCCACTGCTAGGAACTTGCCCCTCCCCTACCATCCCCCATTGTTATGTGATGCTATCACTTGCATTCACGTCCGTCTGCCTCCCATCACATGTTTGTGCGTTGCATGCGTGGTGTGAGCGTGTGCAAGAATTTGTGTTTGATGTGGTTTGGTTTTTCTGAGTGTGTGTGAATGTTATTTGGCTTGAGCAGATATCTGAACTGACTCCTCTGCTCAAAAGCTTTCCGACGAACCAAGTATCGCTTAAATCGGAGCACGAACAAGCAAATTACGAACGTTGGAAGTTTGTATGTTTTTTATATTTGGTTGTGGTGACTATGGGAAGTTGTGGGGTTGACTCAATATGGGGTACAGACTTTTGGGGGTTGGGAAATTTGTATTTTCTACTGTAGTTGCTGCCAAATGGTTGGGAGAAACCAAACCAGGTTGGCAAGTGTGGCCAAGTTGGGTTGAGGTGGATTGAGGAGGTGGGGATAGTAACAAAGGTCAAAGTTGGGTTGCCTATGGGGAAGGGAATTGTGTGGCATGGAGTTTCCTTTGGTTGGGGACTCATTGGCACCTTCCCTCTCTTCCTCCTCTTCCCTCCTACCTGGTTTAGTGCTACTCTAACTTCCTTGTGTGCTAATCTTGTGAACTTGTGAGACTCTTGTGATTGAGTTAAGATTCTATGGCAGCATACCCCCTAGTGCGCCGAAATTGATAACTCAAGAAATACTTCACCTTTTCGTACGATTCAACTTGGAAATTGTAGCCACAGAGTTTGGTGAAGTTTTATATCAGAGTTTGGTGAAGTTTTTAACCGTGAACTTTTCGTCGACGGCGTTTCTTGTGAACTCGAATTTTCTGTCCAGAAACTAGGCCCAACGATTTTGTGATATTTCGGCTCCTAATCTTCATAGACTCCGTCCTTAGTCTCTAACAAGTGGTATCAGAGCTGATTAAGGACTTTGTGGAGAGTCTACTGAAGTGTGAAGACCCTCCTAGACCCACCATGGCCTGTGGACGTGCCTAAGTGGAGTTCTGGAGGTTGGATGTGACTTCCGCTAAGGGGAAACTCTGCCGAAATTTCGTTGGCGCCGACACTTGTGAAGATTGTGTGGATCTACATTGTGACCAGCAAAGGGGGGAGCTGAAACCTCTGATTGGGAGCAGAGGAGATGAATCAATGGAGTGGAGATGCAGCTGAGAAGAGGAGTGAACTGCCACCATCCAAGATCGAAGCGTTGGATGGCTCCAACTATGAGGAATGGAGCGGGCGGATGCGGAGCGCCTTCAAGCGCTACAAGCTGCTGAAAATTGCAATGGGAGAGGAGAAGATGCCGGGGGAAGGAGATGCCTGCGATCGGTGGATTGAGAAGAGCGCGGTGCTGTACGACCTCATCCTCCAATCGGTCAACAACGACATGTTCCAGCACATCAAGGATTTGGTGGAGTTGGATGATTCCGGACCGAAGGCATGGAAGCTGCTACGCGACGTGATTCAGCCAAACACGCTGCCGATGGTGATTGTGTTGGAGAAGGAGTTGGCTGCCCTCTCCGTTTAAGGTCGACGATGGAGGGGGAGAACCAGAGGCGGGGAGGGCTTAAGTTCCACACCCCCACCTCCGTTTTCAGCCCCACCTGCAGCTCTACTTCCCGCCCCCTCTGCCCAACCTGCTTTAGGCGACCCTCACATGGGCTCATCACCCAGCAATCCCCCCCCAGATGAACCCTCGCCTTTGCAGGCACATGGTGGAGGTTTCCCCGGCGCAATCCTTCCCCACCAACATCTGGTTGCCGCTCAGGATGACGCCCTCCCCACTGGGATGGAGGTAGTTGGAGTTGGGGTTGACAGAATGATGAGGGAGGATGAGGCTGCACTTATCTCTCATACCCCCCTTCCCACCACTGCGTGCAGCCCCACCCCGCCCGCAACAGCTCAGCTGAGAGGGCTGGAGGGTGAGTTGAGGCCGGTGCGACAACCACATGCAACCCAGCCACATGGGCCGGCGGTGCTTCACTCATCTCTCGCTGGACCAGGTCACCCTCCCTCCCTTACAGACCTGGAGGCGTCGAATCCCTCATCGGGTTTGGGGGCGGCTGTATCTGACTTGCTGGCGATACAGAACACTGACATACCCCTCCCTACTCCCACCCCCCCGGCCCCAGTGGTACACGCCCACGAAGCCCCCCTCATGGACCTCCCTCTTGCAGCCCCCATCCTGCAGGAACCGTTTCACCCTTCTCCGATGGAGACCGATACGATCTTCAGACCGTGCGCCTCTGACGCAGATGTAGGTGCACCACTCCTGCCTGCCTCTCCCCACCCATCCCCATCACCAGCCCCACCTATCACCACGGCAGATAGTTCCGAGGGCACGGCCACGGCCGACCCCACCGACACAGCGACGTCACCAGACGAGGTCGTGAGGTGCCCCACATGCCTGAGCTCCCTCGCGAACCGCCGAGCACTCCGACACCACATGCCATTCTGCCACCCTGCCGACGCAGCTCGCAGGGCGCAGGCCCTCCGCGACAGGGCCTCAGCTCTACCTTCCCTAGCAGAGCCCCGAGCCCAGGGGATGCAGTTCACAGATGCACAGTGGCGGTCACTTGACTCCGTCCGGTGGTCGGAGTACTTTGCCCCGGAGCGCATTCATGCCCGTCCTCTTCGGCGTATCCCCCCGAGGGTCCGTGGTGGGTATCTAGACATCCTCTGCGCCATCTTAGCGCGGGTCTCCTAGGACCCAGAGGCACCAGGCCCTACTCTCCTCTTGGCGGCGGCACCGACGCTCCTACTGGCTCCGGCGACACCGCCAGAGCGTTCAAACACGGCCGCCATTGCAGCGCGCATCATCCGTTTTGGACGAGGTGAGTGGGACGAGCTCATCTCTGAGGCCCTACATCGACGTACCCCCCTTCCTCTACGAGTAGCACGACACGCTCGCGCCACCACCTCCTCCCCCACACTGGATGACCGTCGCATTGCCCGCTGCCTGCGTCTGGCGGCTTGCAATGAGACCTCGCGGGCCTGCACGGCCCTAGAGTCGGCAGAGGCGGCACCTGACACGGAGAGTACGATGCAACGTCTGCGGAGCAAGCATCCCATCGCAGAGCGACCGACTCCAGATTGGCTACCGACTTTCCAGGATACTGCCCTTGTGCTCTCTATAGATCACCTCTGCCGCGCCATCTTCACAGCCCCGCGCGGGTCGTCTGGAGGACCGACAGGCTGGGTTGCCGAGCATCTTCGAGATACTTTCCTTGCTTTTCCTGAGAGCCTCCCTAGCCTGCTCGCCGTGTACCAGCTTTGGCTGCGAGGCTACTGCGCCCCGGCAGCTCGGTCGCTATTGGCATCGTCCACACTGGTCGCTCTCGCGAAACCGAACCTGGATGTGCGTCCTATCGCGATAGGTGAGGTTCTGATTCGCATCCTTTCTCGCGCAGTATGCTTGCAGCTGCGGGACCAGATGGCTAGAGTTTTCCTCTCGTCACAGCAGTTTGGGGTGGGCGTTACCTGTGGGACAGAGGTCGTGGTTAGAGGCGTTCGTCGCGCTCTGGATGACCACCCTGACAGGGTGGTTCTTCAGCTGGACGTGGCGAACGCCTTTAACTCATTTCATCGAGACGCCATGTTCCAGGCCCTCTACACTAGTGCTGAGTTCCGCTGTCTTATTCCTTTCATTCGCCTTTTCTATGGGACACCCTCCGATCTCCTCTACCGGGCGAATGGAGGGGTCACCACCATTCACTCGGAGCGCGGGACCCGTCAGGGCGACCCGCTCAGCCCTTTCCTGTATGCCCTCACACACCGCATGGCTCTACAGCCAGTTCTAGCTGAGGGCGATGTCAAGCTATGGTCATACAAAGATGTTACTTACGTCCTGGGCCCTCCTTCCAGGGTGCTACACCACTTTGCAGAGATTGTGAGGCACTTGCGCGAGCTGGGCCTTGCGGTCCAGCCACACAAGTGTCTCGTCTACGGCAGGGATTTTGTGACTTCCAGGGAGGTGGAGGCCTTCACGAGTCTGGGGATTGAGGTCGTTCGCAGAGGACTCACCGTCACGGGAGTGCCGGTGGGCTCTGACGCTTTTGTGGAGAGGAGCCTACCTGAGCGTCTGGAGAGGATGGGGCACGTGTTGCCGTGGCTTCCGAGACTGCGCCAGCCCCAGACAGCGGCCCGTCTACTTTCGGCATGCGTCAGCACGCGACCGCAGTATCTGGCGAGGACGGTCCCTCCGACCCCGGCTGTACGTGCCAGTTTTGCACGGTGGGATGAGCGGTTGGGGGAGACCTTTCAGCAGCTTCTGGTGCCTGGGACTTGGACTTGCATAGAGGACGTTCGTGAGGCTGCCCTGGACCAGATCTACCTCCACATACGTCTAGGGGGTTTTGGCATCCGACGCATGGAGCGTATCGCCCCGGAGAGTTATGCGTGCTCTTGGGTACAGTACGCGCCGATCCTTTGCTCCCTCCCAGTGTGCGCCGCGAGCTTCCGACAGAGCTTCGCATCGGATGATGTTGACCAGATCGATCGATCACTGCGGACGGCGCTAGAGGGCCTCCCACGTGACATCCTCTCTCTCTTCCCCCCCTGGCACTCTTGTGTCTCTGCTGCCCCTGATTCTCTTTTCACAGGAGTGAGCCGCGTCTTGGAGGCGCGGGCCTTGGAGTCAGTCCGGGCCCGTCACACTAACCCCTTGCACCTTGCCCGTTTGACATCCCTTCAGGGCGCAGGTGCAGGCGCGTGGTTGACGGCGGTGCCGTACGCAGACTCACTGCGCATCCCAGAGGCGCAGTGGCAGGTGGCCTCAGCTTTCCGTCTCGGCCTCCCTATCCCCAAAGTAGCCCTTGCAGGTCGGTTTTCTTGTGGGCAGGCGATCGACGACATGACGGTATCTCACCACGTGGTGCGGTGCTCCCGCTTCGGCGTCGCCACCGTCATCCACGACACCGTGAAATACATGCTTCGGGACTTTGCTTCTGAGGCAGGTTTCGCGGTGAAGGTGGAGGACACCACCTTGATTCTGCACTTGGAGGCAGCTAGAGCGCGACTGCAGGGACTCTCGGGGACGGGGGACGGGGTACCGGGACAGTCACGGGCACCGTGGGGACAGCAGCAGCAGCAGGGTGGGCTCGGTCGAGGAGCTGGTGGGCAGGAGGGCCGAGAGGGGCAGGATGGGCTGGCTAGTGGGGGAGAGGAGGGGGGACAGCAGCAGCAGCAGCAGCAACAGCAGCAGCTAGGCCAGCAGGGGCAGGAGGGGCAGACCCGTAGGGGTGAGGAGAGGGGACAGCATGGACAGCAGCAGCAGGGCCAGCAGGGGCAGGAGGGGCTGGCTAGTGGGGGAGAGGAGAGTGGACAACAGCAGCAGCAACAGCAGGGCCAGGAGGGGCAGCGACAGCAGGTTTGTAGGGGAGAGGAGAGAGGGCAACAGCGGCAGCACCAGGAAGGTCAGCAGGGTCAACAGGGGCGACAGCAGGGGGGTCAGCATGGGCACCGGCGTGTGGGTCAGCAGGGGCAGGCTGGCTGGGAGGAGGAGAGGAGACAGCAACAACAGCGACGACAGCAGGAGGGCCAGCAGGGGCAGGAGGGGCAGGCCAGTATGGAAGAGGAGAGAGGACAGCAAGAGCAGCAGCAAGAGGGTCAGCAGGGGCAGCAGCAGGAAGGTCAACAGGGGCGACAGCAGGAGGGTCAGTGGGGCCAGGCTACTAGGGGAGAGGAGAGAGGACAGCAGCGGCAGCAACAGCAGCGGCAGCAGCAGCAGCTACAGCAGCAGCAGCAGCAGCAGCAGCAACAGCAGCAGCAGCAGCAGAAGCGGCAGCAACAGCAACATCATGGCCAGCAATGGCAGGAGGGGCAGGTTGGTGGAGGAGAGGAGAGAGGACAGCACAGCTAGCAACACGAGGTTCAGCAGGGGCAGGAGAGGCCGGCGAGTGGGGTAGAGGAGAGGGGACAGCAGGGGCAACAGTGGGATGGCCAGCAAGGGCAGGTCGGGCTCCGGGTCCAGGGGGCGACCCAGCCCTTGGGTGCGGGCTGGTTCGGGGAGAGAGGGAGAGAGGAGGTGGCGGGGGACACGACGGCGGGAGCGCAAGGGTTAGGAGGGGAGGGTATGGAGGGGGGGGGGATAGGGCGAGGGTGCTGCGGGGTTTGGGGTTAGGGAGAGGAGATGGGAGGAGGCAGGTGGGTGGGGGAGAGCATAGAGAGGCAGAGACGACAAGGGAGGAGGCACAGAGGGACCAGGCAGAGCAGCAGCCAGTACAGCAGCAAAGGCAGGCTGGACGCACAGGCCGCATAGGGGCACCAGCCCGCATTCCAGACCTGACTTGCCGCGATATAGAAAAAACTTTGATGGTGTTGGTAGACGTCTCCATTGCAGATCCACAGCAACAGGGGAATACCGGGCTTAGACGAGGGGCCCCAGTGCAGATAGGTGTTGCAGCAGCCAGACGAGTGCAGGACAAGTTGCGGGATTGGGCACCGCATCTAGAGGGATTACAACCGCCGCCACATTTTTATGCTTGTGTAGTGGAGACGTTTGGGTTGCTCAGCGAGCCAATGAGGCAGTTTCTAGGCGCGGCGGATTGCACAGCGGCGTAAAGACTTGGGGGGGGGGGGGGGGGGGGGGGGGATGACGGGTCAGCCCGGATTTTCGAGACCGGACTCACTACACGACTTTCCGTGGCACTGCAGCGAGCGCAGGCTCAGAGTATTATACAGCACGCGGTGCGGCAGTTGGGAGGGTCAGACGATGGGTGGATGCCCGCACCAGTCCCTTTGGGTGCAGGGCAGGGCAGTTGGCATCACATTACTGGCTGCTTTGAGAGTGTGGCAGACATGCAGTATATGTACGATGCATATGTATAGGCGTTTAGCGATTGTGCTTGAAAGGATGTGTCCCGCGCTGTGGTGCGGGTTGCTGTTGTAAGGAATTTTCCGGATTCCTTACTGGGTTACACTGTACGCGTACAACTCCGACTTTCGGAAAACCAGGCTCGGCCCGCCGACCTCGCCTTCCGAGCCACCACCGCGTCGTTTTCGGGTTTCCAACCCCGAACCTACACCCAACCATCTTGCGACCCCGCGACCTCGGCCTAGCTAACCTTGCTATATTATGCCTAGGCCCCGTTGTCCATGCAGACGTTGTAATCACTTCCGCATTATTGAGTTCTGCGCACTCTTTCCTTTCACAACTTATAACACTTGGTATCAGAGCCTAAAGTCCTAGGTTACCCTTGCGTTTCCGGGGTAGTTTGTAGAAGGGGAGCGATAGACTTGGTGGGCTGTTAAGCGGTCGGCCCGTGGAATAGATCTGATTATTCCACTCCGACTACGATAGCATTAACGCCTTCACCGAAGTCAGAAAAATCGCGAACCACCCCCTGCCCGTTCGACAAAGCCTGAGGCACATGGAGCAGGCCGAGTTCAACGAGTTCATGCAACAGTTCCGTGCGATGCAGGCCAACTTGCAGGGTATGACTGCAGAGATGGAGCGTCTACGGAAGGAAAACGCCGAACTACACCAAGCGCGTGGTGAAGCGCGCCAGGAGTCGCCTGTCGTGGACGACGCAAGTAGCAGCACTTCACCAGATGAGCGGGTCTGGAGCGAGCTGGAAGGCGAGATGGATGCGGACGAAGTGAGGCAGGCGCAGCAGGAACAGTCGCCACAACAGTCGCGTGCAGTACCACCACGTGCAGCAGCGACGACGACGGCGACGCCAGCAGCAACGCCAACGGCCCCGATGGCAGCAACGGCTTTTGTGAAAATCAAGCCGACGAACCCGCCCCCGTTTAACCCGAGTGATAAGTTTGTCACTGTTTCTGCGTGGTTGTTCGGTGTGGAGGTGTTCTTTAATGCTGCTATGATTTATGACGACGCCACCTGCATTAATTTCGCAGTTTCACTACTACGAGGACCTGCGCTGGAGTGGTGGAGGCGAACGCTGCAACACGAAGGGACTTCGGCAGGAATAGCATGTGCGAACGACGGGACTTCAACACCTGTCACGCATCAGGCAACACCGATTTTCGGGACGGCCACGATACGCACATGGAAGGAGTGGGGCGCCGCCTTGCGAACCAGATTCGAGCACATATCCGCCTCGGACTCTGCTCGCATGACCCCCTATGGGCTAACCCACTGTAGCCTAAACTAACACAACATATATAATGTTTGACAGATACAGTACGAGGTCCGACGAACCCGACCACGCAGCTTCAACGATGCTGTCCGGGAAGCTGAGTCAACGGATGCGCTGATGCAGTGGGCGAGATCGAGCTCCCGGGAGGGCCCTCGATTTCGTGGACAGACTCAGCAGCCCACGATCAACGGCGTGGATGCACCTAGCCGAGCCCTTGGGCCGTGCTTTTTATGCAACTAGCTGGGCCACCTGAAAAAAGACTGCCCGAGGCTTAAGCAGGGGAAGAAGAACGATGGAGAAGGGCCGGGAAAAGATACGAGTCAGTAGCAGACGGGCCACCTACTGACGAGACCCTGTCGCCCGACAATCACCATCCACACCGGGTCGTGGTACCGATCAGCGCTATCGGCCAGAACCGGACGAATAACGTGGGTGAACACGTGGACTACCCTGTGTTGGTGGTAGGGAGGGTTAACGGTTATAAAATTAAACTCTTCGTTGACGGTGGGGCGAGCCACAGTCTCGTCAACCTGGCAACGGCCAAAAAAATGGGGGTGAAGCTGACCAGGTGTCTACCAGAGATCGATGCAAGGTTGGTGGACGGAACACCGCTGGCCATCCGAGATGAGGCGCGAAAAATTCGGATACAGTGCGGCTACAAATTCGGGTTTGGCATGAGAATGTTGGCGACGACGTTGGACGGCTGCAATGTGCTGCTGGGGAGGGATTGGCTACAGCGCTTCAATCCGACGATCGACTGGACGACTGGGGCGTGCGTCGTGCGAGGATATGGAGGGAAGACGACGCTTTCGAAATGGACGGAGCCGGAGCCGGTGACGACACGTGTCAACGCGATCAACATGCAACGTGCGATGAACAGCGGAGCTCAGGCCTTCTTAGTGCACCTGTACGAAGTGGCAGCTTCCGAAAAAATCGCGGACATCGACACCCTCTGCGCGGCAATCCCCGAGGAACTGGCGAGCATTATTCGGAAGTATCCCGAAATTTTCGCGGATGACCTCCCGAATGGTTTGCCCCCCCAACGACCTGAGGATCATCGGATCCAGCTGGAGCCCAGCGCACAACCGACTGTGCGGACACAGTGGCGGCTCAGTCAACCAGAACTCACCGAGTTGCGGGCCCAGCTGGATTACCTACTCGCCAAAGGATTTATCCGGCCCAGCACGTCGCCGTATGCAGCACCAATACTGTTCACGCCGAAGAAGGACGGTGGCCTACGCATGTGCATCGATTATCGGGCGCTGAATCGGGTCACGATAAAGTCGCGTTACCCGATCCCGCGAACCGACGATCTGCTGGATCAACTTCGCGGAGCTCGGTATTTTTCGAAAATCGACATGCGAGGAGGCTACCACCAAATTCGCGTATTCGCCGACGACTGCCCGAAGACCGCTTTCCGCACACGCTACGGCAGTTACGAGTTCACAGTGATGCCGTTCGGCCTGACAAACGCGCCCTCGACGTTCCAGCTCACCATGAATGGAATTTTTCGGGACATGCTGGACAAGAAGGTCATCGTGTACCTGGACGATATCCTGGTGTACAGCGCGATAAAAGAGGACCATCTGCGGGATTTAGAGGAGGTGTTCCGGCGTTTACAGGGGCATCGGCTAATCACAAAGGGGTCTAAGTGTGAGTTCCTGAAGCCGGAATTAGAGTTTCTGGGGCATGTGGTTTCCGGCGAAGGGATTAAAATCGACCCGCGCAAGGTGGACACCATCGTTAAGTGGAAGCCGCCTACTAATATCCCTGAGTTGCAAAGTTTTCTGGGGTTTGTTAACTACGTTCGTCGTTTTGTACCCAATATGGCAGGGATAACCAAGCCGCTGACCGACCTGCTGCACCACGACAGTGATTTCAGGTGGGGGGAGAGGGAGCAATCCGCCTTCGACGCTCTCAAAAACATTTTGGGTTCACCCCCGGTACTCTGCCTCGCCGATCCATCCCGACCGTTCGAAGTCGTCACGGACGCCAGCGATTTCGCTGTCGGCGCTGTCCTACTACAGGACTTCGGCCAAGGGCTGCAACCAATCGCCTACGAGTCACGCAAGATGCAACCACCTGAGTGCAACTACCCAGTCCACGACAAAGAAATGCTGGCCATCGTCCATGCATTCCGCGTCTGGCGCTGCTACCTCACAGGAGCCGACGTGACGATTCGGACTGATCATAAATCGCTACAGTACATGCGCACGCAACCGACACTCAACCCGCGACAAATCCGGTGGTTGGACTTCCTCGAATCCAATTTCCGGTACACCATCACGTACAAAAAGGGCGCCAACAACATCGCCGACGCCCTTACCCGACCATCCATGCAAAACACGGCGGTACTAATCGCCCACACCAACCCGATGCTAACAGGACTATTCACCCACGGCTATAAGATCGACAGGTTTTTTCGGAACCCGCAACAACAGGCTGCTACACTGCACGGCAAATACTACCTAAAAGCCGGTACGAACCGGATTTGGGTACCAGCATACCAGCCTTTACGGGAGCTGCTGACGCAGGAGGTTCACGACTCCAACCTCTCCGGGCATTTCGGCACCGACAAGACACTGAAGCTGTTGCAGCGGAATTACTTCTGGCCGGACATGCAAACCGATGTGCAGCGCTACGTGTCAACTTGCCCGACCTGCCAAGCAATGAAGTCGTCGCGACAAAGGCCAGCCGGTCTGCTGCAACCCCTCGCGCCACCCGAACGACCGTGGCAACAGGTGACGATGGATTTCGT